AATGAAACTAAAACTATAACATAAATGCAAAAGAATAATCACAATAAGTTAGCTCTAATTTATGGGGCATATGTCATATACGGGCACCTTAGATACATCATCCATTTCAATATTCACAATAGCAGCAACAGGTAGGAATTACTAAACCATTTTACTGATGAGGAAACTGAGGCTTAGAGCAATAACTTGTCCACAGGCACATAGTGGGAAATGGCAGAGATGGAACTGAAGGCCATAATGTTATAAAAATTGTGTAATTCAACACTTCACATTAACAAAAATATATATGCCGGACACTATAACAGCAAAATACAGAAAAAAGACCCAAAAGTTAATTATTACTCCTTCTATCTTACTGGTATTTTTAAATAAAGGGAAACATGATAAATATTAAGGAAGACAATTAATAAACACAAGGTCTGAATATAATGTAAGAAAACCAATAGTTAGAAACACTCTAGAACTTAGCAAAATAATAACACAACCTCTCAAATCAGTTAATATCCAGTTAAGATGTTAAAAAGACAGAGAAGTATTTCTATGATCATGCCATTGCACAAAACACTTTTACGTGGGCATCATGACTGTAAAATCATGTATCTTTGGTTCCTGAAGCACAGCCTTTAGAACAAATGTTGCCTGTAACGTGTAGAATAGCCAAAAGTCATTTGGATACCTCAAAATATTAAAGTAGATCTTTCTAGAAGGTGAAATCTCAGAGAAATCACTTTCTAAGTAAAACATTTCTATGACAGTTCACTTTTTCATATTTTTTACAAAAATAAAACACACAGTCATATGGGACCAACATCTGAGTAATCATCTGGCATTTACAATTTCATTTGGAAAGTGTTCTTGTGTGGTTAATAACTTAGCTCTATGTGTCATTCTACACATGGAGCACCAGGTAGAGACAACACTGATGGATCATGCATATATTCCTTCCAAATAAGCTTTGTTCAAGTACCATATTCATGTAGCTATAGGAGCTGTGGTGTGTTTTGCAAATTCATTATCATTGCCTTATACACATTCTGTATACATATCATGCCCCCCCCACTCAACCTACATAAAACAGTAACTAGACTCAGCCTCTGAGAAAGACACATGCTAACACATTTTTAGTCACCAACAGTGTGCCATTAAAGCAGGGAGAAGGAAAACAAATCTGGGGGGAGGTGTTGGTATCTGCAATTCAAAAAGATTTAACTGCTCTAGAATTCTCTGCCAAAAGCATCTATGAATTGATGCTGAAGGGGAAATATAGAAATTCACCATGACACTTTGTGCTTCATAGGATTATTACTCCTGAGCCTCAGAATGTACACAAAAGAGCAAAGGTGATAGCTAGATTAACAATGATATTCTTCCAAACTGCCTTAAGAGAAGAGTATCTTTTCTATTTCTAACTAGGGATGATCTGGATCTATGTACGTAAACTCAAGCTATGGTTCCTGGACCAGAAAAAGTTCAGGTCTCAAGATAAGAAAATAGCTGGGTTGTTTTATTGTTTTGCTTTAATCTGGGTATTTCTTTCATGCGTATAAATCGATGTTAAAAAAACAAATTGCTTTTGTCCCTGACCGGGTAGCTCAGATGGTTGGAGCATCGTCCTGATGAGCCAAGGCTGTGGATTTGACCCCTGGTCAGTGTACTTACAAGAATCAACCAGTGAATGCATGAGTGGGTGGAACAACAAATGGATGATTTTCTCTCTCAAATCAATAAGTAAGAAATATTTTTAAAAACCCAATAACTTTCAAGCACATTGTTAACAGCAATTTACAGCATAAAGAAACTATAGATAAAGACATTTTAAAAATAGTCTTTAACAAATACATTGCCTCCAGGTGTTTAATTCTAAAAAAAACCCCACTTTAATTCAAAATATATTGTTCACAACTTAGAGGCATACACCATTTTAAGTATATCCTTGAAAGTTGAATTCTGCAGAAATATTACTTAGAAGACCGTCAAATCTCAGAGGGAAGGTAGGGAAGGGTGGGGTAAGGGGGAGAGATCAACCAAAGGACTTGTATGCATGCATATAAGCCTAACCAATGGACACAGACAGCAGGAGGGTGAGGGCATGAGTGGGGGGGAGCGTAGAGCGGCAATGGGGGGATAAGGACACATATGTAATACCTTAACTGATAAAATAAATAAATAAATAAATAAATAAATAAATAAATAAATAAAATAAAAAAGAAATAATATATGTATCAGAATTACATATCTTGCTTTGTAAATTCTTTCACACTCCAAAAACTTCTCATTTCTTTTTTGTTATAGACTAAGTAATCACTTTTGTTAATATTCTTTTTAAAATTTTCTTTCTCATCTTTAAACATTTGTAAGCAGCTAAGTACCACAACCACTTAGATTCCAAAGGCCTTGTGGTTAAAAGAACCACATATTTCTTTCTAGTTGTAGTAATTAAATATATTCACTGATTGCTTACTATATTTTCATCCCAAGACCAGGCAAGAAGAGAGTCATACATAACTCATGCTTTGATGCAGCACATAATGAGGATTGGTGGCAGGAGAAGGGATCCGAAGCTCTACTGTCAATTGCCTTTCTCCGTCCATTACCATTCTATTTCTCTATCATACCCTCTTACTAACGTTGCACCCCTAAACCCCCAACATGTCTTATTTGATATAAAAATGAATTAAATATTAGAGACCCATGAAGAGCAAAGCAAACAACTGCAGAGTTGAGCTATAGATTAGTCATTAGAACCCAGATCTTAGAATTAATCAAGTAATTATAATACGAATTCAGATGATCTTGTTGATAGAAGACTCTTGGCAATTTCATTAACTGTTAAAGGGGATAGAGTTCTACCACTCTGGCCAAGTGGAGAAATAACTCCAGTGGATTTTTTTAAATCATAAGGCCCTGAATGTGAAAGAAGTAGTCTTTAAAATACCTTAACCTTGGCCAAATAAATAAATGAGCCAAAAAGGCAACCAACCATACCTTCTCCTTTGATAGTCAGTCTTGTTGCTCCATTTATGCTGCCATATTTAGGTATTATTTCTGTGACTTTAGGAATTATTTTAGAGCCATCTGAAAGATATTAAAATACAGTGGAGGGAAAATTATCAAGGACTTCATTTCAAGCATCAAATTTCATACCATGTATTACAACATCGTTAGAAAAGTATCATGAAGGCTATAGTCTGAAAGTAAATAGACCAATGTTTTATTTTTGGCTCTATTGCTAACCAATGACTTTACAGTGAGTTAAGTCATTAACTCAGTTACTACTACTCGTTGATTATTTTCATCATTCTATATCTATCATATTATAAAACACTTATTAATCCCTTAAATTCATGCACACAGGAAGTGCAAAGCTAGTAGAATCAAAGAACACTTCAGGTGCAAAGAGGAATGTTGTGTTTTAAGAAGACATTGTTTTCTATGACAGAGTAGGACTTCAGGAAAGATCTAGCCTCCTGATGTTAGCAAGTTCTTAATGCACAGGTCACGGATTCATTCAACAAACGGTGTTACTGTGCCTGAGGATATAAAAATGCATAACAATCTCAACTTCCCAGAAGTTTAGCTTGCACTGCACAGAGTGACACAAGACAGCACAGGGGCCATAGATGACTTCGATGGGGCAATTCATCCATACGTCTTGGGCCACACCCCCTTACTGAGAGAAGAGGTGCCCCTGCTGCATTTGGGAGGGCAAATATCAGTTAGCTTAGACTGGACCAATTGTGGGGAAGGCATAGAGTTCTAGACAGAAGGTGGGTGGGTGGTTTCCTTGGAGAACTGTAAGCAGTGCGTTAAAACAACTCAAAGATATCCAGTGAGCAGTAGAGTTTATTTTCTTCTTAAACTGTACAGATCTGGGTACTAGTAAATCCAGTAACAAATTCTCAGAGTAGGTGGGAAAATTTAAGTGGGGGTGGGGTTGGGGGGGGGAGCACAAAGAAAGAGAAAGGTGAACAAAGTTATGATGGTATGGTTCATTCCTGCCTGAGAAAAGTTTAGCAGGGACTTCGCCTATAAGGCCAACGGCCTCCACCATAAAGACTAGCCCCCTCACCCAAGCCTCTGTGCTTTAGGCCTGTCTTTGCCAAGAGCCCACGGCTGTTCCCGCTTCAGGCACTTCGGTAGCTTCCAGCAGCCCACAGCCGCCGGTAGGAAACTCCAGCTGGATCCTATCTCCGGGACCCTGCTGCTCCTCACCTATCTCAGGTTCATCCTCCAGTTATCTCCGCGGACAACTCCAATTTCTTATCTTATCAGTCTCCTGCCAGCCCTCTCCTGGGTATTACTCTGAAGGCTCGGGGCAGCTGGCCCTGGAAGTGACCGGCACCCGCCACAAAGACCCACTTCTGTCCCACTGGGAGACTTCCCCCAAGTGGGGCCAAAGGACCCAAGAGGAGAGAGAGGGAGGACTCGGGCTGCCTCCCCGGCCTAGACCCCCATCACCACTCCCCAGGCCACATGTCAGTCTCATTTCAACAGGTCACTTGGGGGGAGGAGGTGAGACTCAAACTCTCCCAAGCAACACGGATGAGTTCAGAGCAATCGCTCCCTCTCCCTCGGTCTGTCTGGGTCAGGCCCGCCCTGCAGGTGCTTTGGTCCAGGCTTGCGCGGCGGCGACACCCACCCCTTTGGCCCCGAGCTGGTGTCCAGCGGTCCCGCCTGTCCCAGGAGCAGGGACCTGCCCACATGCGCTTCTCCCGCGCGCTCCCCTGGCGCCCCCCATGGGTTACCTGTGCGGGGGTCCGCGGCGCACAGGAGCAGCCCCCAGAAGCCCCAGGTCCCCCAAAGCCACAGGCGTCCCATCGCCGCTCGAGTTCGCGGAGTCGCCGCGCGCGCCTGCGCTCAGCTCGGGGATCGCCACTCACTCGCGCGCCCGACCTTCCCACGCTCCGGCGAGGCAGCCCCGCCCCCGGCGATGGGGCGGCGCCCTGGGATTTGCGCGCACATACGCACCCCGCAGGGGAGCGGCGAGCCCGGCGGGGCCACCCAGCACTCCACGCTCAGACCTGGGGGCCAACAGCCTAAGGCTGTCCACTCCTTTTTCCGTGAGTCTCGCCCCTTTCCCCCTTGCCCTCTTTCCTTACCTTATCTTTCTTACTAATTTTTCAAAAATTCTGGACCTGTATATTTTCATGGCCTGTCTGCTGTGATTATTAATCCACCCCAGTTGGGCCTGAAAGTCCAACTAACACACAAACCTCACACATTTCCCCCTTTACATTCAAATAAGTTCCTGCTATTCCCCATTAATGGACAATCACACTAGTATTACTGATGTCCCCAAAACCATGTCTCGTGCTCTAGAGACTTCAACTCACAATAATCTCAAAAGGACCATTACCATTACCATTACCATTACCATTACCATTACCATTACCATTACCATTATTACTACTGCTGTTGCTATTATTAGCCCCACGAAGGTACAGAAGGTTAAGCTGCCTAAGGCCATGCACCTAAGTGTAGTCTGAGGACTCAAAAAGTGACTCCAGAGCCAGTGCTCTTGTCCTCTCCACTGCCCCCAATTCCGCAGAATTCTAGTGAGGTCCTGTGATGCTTATGACACACTTACATATAAAAAAAATATATTGTTTATCTGAAATTCAAATTTAACTAAGCAGCCCATATTTTTATGTATTAAATCTGACAAGTCTAGCTAGGAGGGAAAACAGAAGAAATGAAAAGAGAACTCTAAAATAAGTAAGTGAAATTGGGTCCTTACATTTTATTTTTTAAAACATGTTTTTATTGAGAGAGGAAGGGAGAGGGACAAAAGAGAGAGAGAGAGAGACATCAATGAGAAATATCAATTGGCTGCCTGCTGCTGGGGGTCTAGCGGGCTCCCCAGGCATGTGCCCTGACCAGGAATGCAACTGTGATCTCGCGGTGCAAGGGTTAGCGCTTAACTACTGAACCACACTAGCCGGGCTTGGGTCCTTACATTTTAATAAATAATATTAGGAGTTTATATCTGTCTCACTGGGGTTATGAAAATAATTTTGTTAGGTCTGGGTAATTACACTCAACTAATGATTTTTTGCAAACTGACTTCCAGCGTCACCTCTACTGAAAATAGTGTCTGCAAGGGTACCACAGGCCTTCCTTCTCCTGGAACTCTGTAGCATGTGACACTGGTAACATCTTCCTTGAAATTCCATTCCTCTGAATAGTCTTGGGTTTCTTCCTTCCTCTCCAATCACTTGTAGCTCATACAGGGGGTCCCCCAAAAATGTATACACACTCTAACTGCTGGTAGCTCCATTTTGAAAATGAACTGTAGTTTAATAAGCGCTGCCTTTATAATTATTCAAAGTGTGTGTATGCATTTTTTAGGACACTCTGTATTTTTTCTCTTCCATCTCTTCCTGGGAACTGGCATTCCTGCAGGGTCTCTTCCCTTATTCCCTCCTCTCTCTGAAAGCAGGCCAGTGAGCAGAAAATCAGCTAGTTCAAAGGCAATTTGTCAATTAATTATTTGCAAATATACAAAATTTAGAGATGGTAATGTTGTCTAACAATATTTAGCAGCCTTACCAAGAATAATTTAGCAGTATCAACAAAATAGCTATGAAATGTGTAAAGTGTATATGTCGATATCAATATCCAAAATAAAATTTCATGTGGGAATTTTTATATATAATTGTTTGGCTAATTTTAGTTCCTTTCTGATCTAAGTTAATTCATTTCAAATTGAAGTCAGATTAAGTTAACCTAAATTAAATTTTGGATGCTTTCACTAAAAAGTAATTTAAATGCAGTTTCATTCAAAATTCTGATTTTCTCAGATTCTTTTTGAGTTTATAAATTAAAATAAAATGTAATAGGCTACATGATTCTAAAAATTAAAAATTATTTAGTATTAAAAAGTAGAAAATGTCATTCAAAAGTATTATGAAAGAAATCAGAAGTAGATGAAAAATCCTATCCTGTTAAAGCTTATAAATATTTGTTAAACTACAGTCATTTAATTTGCAAATTGGTCATTCAGTAAATTGATCATTTGGTTAATTATCTTTAGGAAAGTTGGTATTTCAGCAAATTAGCCTCAATTTCTTATAAAGAGAAGAACTGTAATTTGCATATATAGATTTTCATTCAACTCTTGTGGAATGAATGAGCATCTCTCTCTAAATAGTGCTTATTTGTACAATATATCAATTTCCTGAAAGAGATCACACATGTGAGATTTTTAATCTTGAATTATTAACAGAAGTGTATGTGATAATGTGCAAATAAATAATTATAACTGGATGGAAATTTATATAAACAAAAGGTCAACTTGGAACCAAAGAAAGTGGTTATGTAGTTTACATAATGATTTAAATTGTATTGACCTCACCCCTATGTACATAGCAGCACAATTTATAATAGCTTCTAAGATCTGGAAACAGCCCAAGTGCCCATCAATAGATCAGTGGCTAAAAAAAAGCGGTGGTACATTTACACCATGGAATACTAAGCAGCAGTAAAAAAGAAGGATCTCTTACCCTTTGAGACAGCGTGGAGGGACTTGGAAAGTATTATGCTAAGTGAAATAAGTCAGAGAAAGACAAGTATCACATGATCTCACTCATATGTAGAATCTAATGAGCAAACTAAACTGTTGAACAAAATAGATCCAGAAACATAGAAGCATGGAACAGATTGTTGAATATCAGAGGGAATGCGAGGGTGGGTGCGTGAGTGGGTCATTAGGAAGAGAGCAACCAAAGAACTTGTATGCATATATGCATAACCCATGGAGACAGACAATAGGGTGGTGAAGGCCTGAGGCGGGGGCAAGGGAGGGCTATAAGGGGTTAATGGGAGAAGAAAGGGGACACATGTAATACTTTCAACAATGAAGATTTAGAAATAAATAAATAAATAAATAAATAAATAAATAAATAAATAAATAAATAAATAGTACTTATCTTCAGAGTCTTAAAAACTTGAACATTTATCATGGAACATGGAAATGGGGAAACATGAAGGGATAATCCTGGTCACTAAACCCCATGTTTCTTTTGTAAGTTAAAAAAAAAAAAAACCTAGCTCTAACAAAGCCTTGCCTGTAGGGCCATCAGCTTCGCGGACATGTGACCTGTGTACTCTCCTAGGATCCCATGCTTGTTTCAATGCTCGGCTGTCACCATCTTGAAATTCTTAATACTTTTTGAATGAGAGAAGGCCCATTCTCATTTTGCTTGGGATCTCACAATTAAGTAGCTGGACCTGCCTGTCTTTATGGTGAAAAAAGAGAGATTTGAACCTGTTGACCCCTCAATTTAAAAGCAATAAGAAAGTGGTAAGAAGTTAGTAGGAACTCCTGCAGAACTACAAGGAATAAGGAATTCACTTAACTTGGAAAATGAGCTGTGTGCTGGAGCCTGACTTTGAATCTAGGCCTAATTGTGATAGAGACGGCAAACAAAATGAGGTGCCACAAGATAATAGTTTGCCTTCAACAAATATTCAATATCCTGGCATTAAGAATATGACAGCATTTTTTAAAAAATCCCTGACCTTGTGGAACTTATATTCTTAATGGAGACAGATAATGAACATGATAAATGAGTAAAATATATAGTATGTCAGAAAGTAAATAAATAAATAAACATAAAGCAATATCACCCAAAGAGGGTGGCTAGCCTAAGACAAACACAGGACAATAAAGTCAGACCTTGGATTAGAACCCTGGTCCCCAGACTCCTAGTCACACAATCCTTTCCTATGTCACTACTGAAGTAGGAAATGAATGGCCATACATAATCACAGTATAATCACAGGTATATACTGCCCTGATAAGAGTATGCAAAAGGGCCCAGCCGGGTGTGGCTCAGCGGTTGGGGGTCGACCCAGGAACCAAGAGGTCACCGGTTCGATTCCCGGTCAGGACATATGCCTGGTTTAGGGCTTGATCCCCAGTAGGGGGTGTGCAGGAGGCAGCCGATCAATGATTCTCTCTCTCATCATTGATGTTTCTATCTCGCTCTCTCTCTCTCTCTCTCTCTCTCTCTCTCCCTCTCTGAAATCAATAAAAATACATTTAAAAAAAAAAAAAGAGTATGCAAAAGGAAGGAAGGAAGGAAAAGAAAGGGAGAGAGAAAGAAAGAGAGAAGGAAATGCTAGAAAGAAAAATAAATAAAGCAAAGACTATAATGTGGTGTGTATGTGTGGAGTGTGATGAAGTTTTAGATAAGATGACCAGGAAGTTGTCATGGAGATAAATTATGAATAAAGAAAGTCTGAAAGGAGTCTTCAGCCAGGTATACATCTGGGAGAAGTGCATTCTGGCACCTGGAAAAACAAATGCCAATGCCGGCAGGAGGAAGTGTGCCTGGTGTGTGAAGAACAGGGAAGCCAGAGTGGCCACAGTGAACAAGTAGGTGGTGAAAGATGTGAGGACAGAGAAGTAATGGGCGGTGGGGCAGATCATGAGGGATCATAGGCGTGGCGCAGAGGGAGATGAGAATCGACTGCAGAATCCTGAGCTGAAATGTGACCTGGTCCAACGTAAATTTTCAGAGAAACACCCAGCTGCTGTTTTGTTCCTCTGAATATGTGGCTGAACCCAGTTAAAGCCTCTATAGGAACTTTTAAGGTTCTGGCAGGTAGATGTAGAAATCTGCTCTTCTTGCAGTCACACAAGACAAGCCTCCGGCTTATTAAGCCTTGCCACCTACCAATCTAGAGTGTATGAGGGTTCAGTTTCAGATTTCACCTGAGAAATTCCCAAGGTTGTGAGCCAACATAAAGGTATGGAGGTTTTCATGTCACATGTTTTGATATATTGTGGAAGTATCAAAATATCTACCATTTTGAAACAAGCAATGGAGGAATGGACAGCCTCACCGTTTCCCATAGAGTACGTGCCTGGAAGAATTCCTATTTTGTGAGTCTCTTTTTGAAACTACCAAGGTTGTTGACATATTAGAAATGGTAAAAAGTTGTTCTATGGCTCTGTTTTTTATTATTATTATATATTTTATTGATTTTTTACAGAGAGGAAGGGAGAGGGATAGAGAGTCAGAAACATCAATGAGAGAGAAACATCAATCAGCTGCCTCCTGCACACCCCCTACTGGGGATGTGCCCACAACCAAGGTACATGCCCTTGACCGGAATCAAACCTGGGACCCTTCAGTCCACAGGCCGATTATCCACTGAGCCAAACTGGTTAGGGTGCTCTGTGTTTTATTTTTTAATAGTATATTTCCAAATAAAATTTTAATTGAAAAATAAAAGCATTATACTCTGGGGATCAAATCCACAACCTAGGAAGGTGCCTGGATTGGGAGTTGAGCCCAGACCTTTTGGTATATGGGAGGACGCTCCAACCAACTGAGCCACCCGATCAGGGGTGACCTTTACTTCTTTTGAAAATGGTAATTTGAAAAATTTCATGTCTGTTTGCAAAAGTATTTATATACCCTCCCCTTAGATCACATTTTCTATCCTTTCTCTCCATACTTAGTATATGTATTTGTTGTTGTTCAACCATATAATAGTTACAGGGTGGCACTTACCCCATAATAGAACTTCTACATGGAACAAAGTCTTTCTCCTTGAATACAAACAGAACATCAGGAAATTTAAAATGCTGATACTATAGTCCTTGATTAAAATTTTCCAACTGTCTCAAATACAGGGGGCCTTGACTTACAAGTTTAATTCGTTCCGTGATGGAGCTCGTAACTCAAATTACTCGTATGTCAAATTATTAAAGTGAACGAGTGAGACACGTGATGCTGGGCTGATGTTGTGGCATTCACTGTGATGTTCGCTGCGCCAACTAGCGGTGGGGTATCTGAAGCTGGCTCATAACCCGAATTTTAGCTCGCAACTCAAAGCAAAAAATCGGCTGAGAGAGACGGCTAGTATCTCGAAAAACTTGTTAGTCAGGACACTCGTAAGTCAAGGCCCCACTGCATGTTCTTAATAGTTGTGTTTAGTTTACTTATCAAGGATGACACATTGCTTTAAATATTATCTCTTTATTCTTTTTTAATTTAGACAGTTCTCAAGCTAACCCTTTTTTTTGTTGTTGTTGTTGCTTTCTAGTCTTTCATGACATTAGCACTTTTATAAGGCCCTGCCAATTGTTTTTCAGAATGCTGTGGTTGTTATTTTAGAATGGGACTCATCAGAAGGCTTGTATCATTTTCTTCCACAAGTTCAGGCGACCAGGTGCAGGCCTAGAGTGAGCCCTCAGGGTAGGGAGGTTTAAGCAGGAATATATATTACTAGGTGTGTGGGGGGAAGGAGTGAAGAAAGGACAAGTTGAGGGTAATTGTAAGGAAGTTCTAATCATAAACCACCAAATCTAAATAGGTAAGGTAGGAAGCAGGAATAGGAGGGAAGGAAGGGACAGATAATGATAGAGGGGTCAGTAGTTGACTGGAGATCTCTACAGAGTCTTTATAAAGTGAAAAAAAATTGTGTAAGAAATATAGAAAATGCAGCTGGGCAGGGGATACATCTGTGCTTTTTACTATGTCTGCTGAAAGCCCAATGTTTTATGGAGGGGGTAAAATGTGGGAGCGAGGTCCCATACACAAAACTATTTTATGAGCACTATTGGTAGGAGAGAAGTACATAAGGACTTATGATGTCCTTGACCATAACGTAGACTTTATGTCATACTTCCTAAGAAGAGCGTCCATAATTCTCATATGTTATTACCCTCCTAGCATCCCTGGAAGACAGGAGTTGTGTGGTTGATAGGCAACGGTCTATGGTGACTAAAGAAGTCATTAAGCACATTACTGGTACAACAGTTGAGAACCAGTGCACTTGCTCACAAATTATTTTTGCCAGACTTAATGCTCCTCAAGTCACACAATGTGCACCTCTACCTAAGTCACCTGCACATCAGGTGGGCTGTGGTTTCACTGACATCTCTATTGCAATTACTCTGTGCTTCTTACCCTGTCAAACTCGTACAGCAGCTATCTAGGAAGGATAAATTCTCAAAGGTGTGCCCTCAACAAGTAATTTTGGAATGAGAAGGTACACAGTAACTGAAAGCCATTTATCTTCTCTTCATTCTGGTGATCCCAGGCACAAAGCCAAAGCATTTATGGATGTGCTAAGTACTGGCACCAGCGCTTGTACTCAAAACTATTTCCTGAGCAACATTATACCCTGCGCAGAGATTCTGTCTGCTTTCATTTATAGCCTTTCCTCACCATTGTCATCATAAGCCAACATTCATTGAATGTCCACACGATTTGGGCACTATATAACGCTATATTTATACTCTTAAACACACACACACAGTGACATAGTGTAAAAAAGGAAAACATGAATATTATTCCTTTAAGAGGGCATTGTATGAAAGGGGAGCATAATGACAAGGAACTAGACACTGGAAATTATTTTATTTCACTTTTTATTAAGAATTTACTCCGCTTTTTTTGATAAAGTAACTGAAATAGAAATATTTCAGTCACGGTGTACGCTATTTAAATCGACTGGCTTCCTGCATTAGTGAATTGGCTTTGGAAAGTGGTTCCAGTAAAACAATATCTGCATCTCACTGTAGCTTCACCTTAATTTATAACAGCAGCACGTTCTGAGGTCCTCACAATTAAGTTTTAATTCAATAACGCCTGTTGGGATGACCCATTTCCTTTACAGAGCCCCAGAGAGGTTGAAAATACAGTCTTCAAGTGCCCCCTGGTGGCTGACAAGCAGAATAACCAAGTACGTATAATTTAGAGTCTGGAATAAACAGGCAGGCACATGCCAAATTTCTTTCCCTCATCTCATTTATTCATTCATTCATTTAAAACATTTTTATCAAGATTTACCTGTTATTCACTTAAGATCAAAGTCAAATGTATCAAAAAGATAAATAGGATCAAAAGATAAACTCCTCTATGACATGAACTGTTTATAGTAAGTAGAATGTGGGTGAAAATGAGTAGTTTCAATCCTCCCTGCTAAGTGCTATTATAGTGGTATTTATTAAATTCCAATCAAGTAATGTTGGTCATCTTTATTTTTGTAGTAATTCTCCTGGTAATTAATATTATCTACAAATTCCTGAAAAATAAAAGCAGCTATTTTCCACATAAGTGTAATTTATATAACTATACAAATCTAGAATACACATAGTAAATACATATTTTTAGAGTTCTTTCTAGTAGTAAAACTAATCCATATTGATTTTTATGAATAACCATATTACTTTTTATGACTACCCTATTCATGGTATTTACAGTTTTAAAATTATTTTAATTCTTGCCAGGTCAGCATTATCAGATCTAAGATGCAGATGAGGACACTGAGGCAGAAGAGGCAGTCTTACCTGATAATTCAGTGTCATAGGTGAGACTAGAACTTGAATTGTTTTATTGCGCTTGTTCGTTTTCTTGGTGGATTCATCCTATGACCTTGTGTGGTTTCTAATGGTAAATATGTGGGGTTTTATGAAGTCACTGAGTAACATGAGATAGCGATTTACAAGAAGGGTTAAAACACAAACGCACACATTGGATCACTTCCAACATCAGCTACCTAGCAGCTGTCACAATTCTCTTGAGTTGGATGGAGCCTTTTATCAAGTTATGAAAAGTCCCCTATCTAATTACCAGTCCCCAGCATCACTCAGGCCCTAGCTTGGCACTGTTCAACCAAATGATACACTTGTAATGCCAAAGCAAAGTGAATACCTAAATAATTTAGTTGGGTCTTCTAATCCTAATAATAAAAAAAAGCTTATCATAACCCTAATTAGTATTTTACTCACCCAATGCAGGCACGTAACAATAAATCTCCTATTGAATTTCCAACACTGAGAATGAAAGGTTGCAAGATTTTTAAAGAATGTATTCTTGGTTAACATGAATCAATGATGTGAGTCAAGATGTTCACACAGTTGGTTTATTTGAAAGATAGCAATGGTTCTAGATGCAAACTACAAGACATTTAGAAGATGCCCCCCCAAAACCACCTAGAGATGGTGGGGGGAATTCTTGGCACTATCATTTTAAAGCTATGCTCTTTAGTATTTTCAATTGCTGTAAAGTATTTTCAATTCAATTATTTTTGTTCCATCTCAGAATATTTTTGCAACTTTTCCTTTTCTCATATTTTGTTCTTAACTATTAAATAGCATTGCTATGAGCAATTTTTGGTTTGCTTTTATATACAATACTATAAAACAAGAACTACCAGTTGTTTTTAACATTTCCTCTGTATCATGTTTCTTTTTTGATAAAGGGTAGCAGAATGATGAATATAACTATCATTTAACTTTAGATCATTGCTTTATGAGATGAAACAAAAAACTCTTTGGGGGTAGGTTTTGTGATTGTGTGTGTGTGCGTGTCTTAGGTTCAACATTTTACAAAATTAAGCCCAGTTGGTTCCAAGACTACACTTAAAATATAAATCATCAAACAGTAAAATTGTACCTCTGGAATCTGAACCAAAAATTAATGTGAAGCCTTTCCTCAAATATACTCAATTGTATTTTTACTTTCTTTTGTGCTTCTATGTTCATTCACTAGTTCATTCATTTCTTATTTTGTTCACCCAAAAAATAAGTATGAGAGAGAGAGAGAGAGAGAGAGAGAGAGAGAGAAGTTCCCTCCCCTCTAGGAGATGCATGCATGCAAAAGTTCTAAAACTATTGTATTGAAATTATGCACAGGTGTTTCTGATAGAAAAGCAGCATTGGGAAATGTAAATCCAAATAGAAATGCCAAGTAAGAGATAAAAGGGCTTTCTAGCTTGATGGACTTTCAGCTGTATTTGAGGATAAACATATTTTGGGGAACTCCTTAGAGAAATTAGTAAACGCCTGATCAAGCGGGCATAGGTGCTATGGCTGAGTGTAACTTTTACCCTGCAAACCAGGAAAAACCATTGAAGTTTCAAGGGGAATAAACTGACCAAGCTTGAACTTTCGTAAGGTCACTTAGGCAACTGTGGAAGATACTGGAGGGTGCATGGAGAACTAGAGCAAAGAGACATCAGATGCCTACTGCACTAAGTTGGGCTTGAACTAAGGCAGTTAAGAGGGCAGGGAGGGGACACCTGACAACCTTGCCACTCAAAGTGGTCCCAATCAGCAGCATAAGCATTGACCGGGTTTGTCAGAAATACACTCTTGTGCAACACCTCTTACCTTCTCAATCAGTATTTTAACAAGCTCCTGAGGTAATATGTATGCCTGGGAGGTACTATTCACATTAAGGAATACAGTAGGGGTAGTTACTAGAAGGGAAAAAGTCACTATCTTAGGTGTGGTCAGTTTGAGGTGTTCGTGGAACATCCAAGGAAGCTGATCCATAGCAGATGGGCATATGGGCATGGAGGCTGGGTTGAAGTCTGGTTTGGTGATGCAATTTACAATTTATTGACCTGTTAGTATTTGAAGTCATGGTCCGACCTGTATCCTGGGATTTTCCCAGGAAAAGCGTATCATTAGTCAGGCAGAGGGCCCATGAGCAAGCCCTAAGAAAAACCATTATTTCCAGTCCCATACAGCAAGAGGTACTCCACGAGAAACAGAAGGAACTTCCAGTGGTAGGAATAAACACTGTGAGGAGTGGGAGGAAAAGTCCCAGTGGCAGGATTCTCAACATTCTCAGTTTCCAGCAGAGGTCACATAAGTACAGACAAGAGTCCATTGGATTTGGCCATCTTGATGTCAGAGTAAAGCTATGGGTGCAGATTATTTCCCATTAAGTTCTTCCTTGACCTTAGTATGTGGGGATGTAATTTAGAGTTTCTGTTTTCAAAGTTCAGATGAGTAGATATGTGAGAGGAGCTTGGTATGAAGCCAGTTTGCAAATGTTCTCTCTTCCAATAGGATGGTAAATTCTTTGAGGAATAAGGAAGGCACATAAAGATGAGTAAGACTCAGTCCTAACTCCCAGAGTTTATAACAAATAAGACAACTGTAGTACAAGATGGGACATGTATTATAAAATAGTATAGGGATTCAGAGAAACACACCATATCTAGACAATCAGAAGAGGCAGCTTATTTCTCCTCAGTTGTTAGCACAGAAACATGTACATACTTAACAAACTATATTATTTGATGACTTTCTCTCAACAAATCTGGTGCATTGTTGAAAAGTCCCATTTATTCCAAGATCCAAGGAAACTTCAAACTCATTCATGAGATATTTATTAAAATAACACATTTAGGGGAAAAAAAATCAATACAATGTATACATCATTACCGAAAACTGTATACCATCATACAAAAACGGATTTTATTTTGGGAAAGCGATTCCTAATTTATGGCAAGTTTTACTTTCAGAAATAAGACCACAAAACAACACAATCTAATTCAATCTTAAAGGCTGGCATGCTGAGCAAGGAATGTTCTTATTCTTTGTAGAAGCTCCTTCTTTACACTGTCAGGTACCAGGGCTGAAATATAAAAATAAAAATATAAGAGTAAGAAGAGTCCAATGAATATATGCCAATTTTAGGTTTGATGTTTTATTCAGGATGACCGATCCAAAATTTATAATCCATTTTATAGATACCCGCATGAGCTTTAATAACAAATTAGATAAACATCTGAAAAAAATAAAGTATATTTTCATTTATTATTTGAGTGAAATAACGAAATACACTGAACACAGAGAAGAAAACATGGGAAAATTCTTTAAAAGAAGTGAAAAACGGCCTTTTTAAAACACAGAGGCTATAACAGATTGATAAATTTAATTCAAGTGCAACAGCAACTTAATAAGCTGGGTCAAAATCACTGTAAACAAAGGCAAAAGACAAAAACTGGGAAATCACTTTTAAAGAAATGGGCTAATCTCTCTACTCTAAAATTTCTTCAATTTGGTAAGATCAGCAGGCTGTTAGAAAAATGAGCACAGGCGATGAAGAAAAGGAGAAACACACAGTTCTTGAACATAAGAGGGGATAAACCTTACAAGAGAAATGAAAATTAAAACCACATTCAGATAACATGTTTTACCAATCAGATTGGCTAAAATCCAAAGGTTAATAATATACTGTGTTGGCAAGACTGAGGGAAAAACTAGCACTCACATATTAGCTGGTGGGAGTATAAACTGTTCCAACATTTTTTGGAAGGTAATTCGACAATATTTTATAGAAATAAATGCATATACTCTCTGACTCAGCAAAGATGCAAAACCACAACAGTGGTTACATTTCCTATATTTTTACTTTCTGAATTTGAACCATGTGACTGTACTATCTATTTGGAGTATTAAAACCCTCCCCCCCCCCCCAAAAAAAAAAAAAAAAACGAAAAGGAAAAAAAAAAGCCCCCCTCTTGGAAATTTTATTATTAAATATCAATAAATCTACATTACTGTTCCTTTTCTAATTGCCTAATAAATAAGGGCAATAGAGAATTAACTAACACGTCTAACACTATGTGCTTGCATTCAGAGGAAATGGAAAGCTTCAGATATAGTTAAATATTTCTATAAGAATTTCAGAAATAAGTACACAAATCAGATGAGACAGATACTCCTCTATAAATAGTTTAGTTTCAGCCTGTCTAGAAATAGAGACTACATGGTTAATTCAAATCCACTGGAACTGTGATCAATATGTATATTAAACATACTTTTAGGTGATGAAGAACAGATCAGCTGCCTTGGGGGTAGGGATAGGGCGTGAATGAATACAAAAGTATCGCTTGAAGGGAGTATTGGGTATATGAATTCATACATGTGTATAAAATTCACAGAATTGCACACTAAAACGGTCAATTTTACTGTATATTTAAAAAAGTAAAATGCTTCTACTCTTCACAATAAAGAAGACTAAGAGAACAGATTTATTTTCACTTCTCTTTTCTTTATTTACTCATTCTCTAGCAGGGGAGCTACAAAGAACTGATATGTCCAAGATACCAGTGTTCGAGGAGGAGCAAAGGACAATTTCTACCCTGTATAACCGGTTCCTAAGTAATGTTAACAAATTAGGCATAAATTACTGAAGGAAAACAGAAAACAAGTTTAGGGAAAATTATTTTAAAATGTAAATTCATGGGGGGAACAATATGTTGGTTTATTTTTCTTTCTCTGAGATATGTGTAAAGAAAAGGTCAGGTTTTTGTAGCTGTAACTAGGCCAAAAGGTATGATGGAAAGAACCAAGGGATTCCTAGCTCCTTTCTAACAGGTAAGCAGTTTGGGGAATGAGTAGTTTCTAAGAATAATTTGCAAACATATTTACTTATTTACATTTAAATTATTTTTAGTATTTTTGTGTGAGAAAACAATAGGTCATCTAATTTACCTGGTTTCACTTAAACTTTCTCAAAGTAAATGGGGAAAAAAATGTAGGTCCATCTAAGATAAGAATATAATGTAGTTTCCTGACACTATTACATAACGTCGATGTTAACATACTTCCTTTCTTTCCTTTGCCTTCTGTAAACAAGGCATTAAAGGGAGAAATTAGGTGGTTGCAGGATGAATCTTAATTATGGATTACCCTGAATATGAAGTTATGGTGCTACTACATTCTTAATTAGACATTCAAGAAGACAGAGCTTTGTTTATTTTTAATAAGCAAAGTGATAGCAGAGCAATGACTCACGGACCGGAGTAAAACTTTGAATTATTAAATATTAAGTGAAGTCAGGCCATATTTAATAGTTAATAATCGTAGCTTCAGGTATATTTACCTCTACAAGATCCCATATTTTAAAAAATATCTTTCTTACCAGTCATGTCAATTTCTTTGTATACTGTTTCAGAGTGCAAAACATTTTACACCTCTTATCTCATGTTACTCAAAATCATGCTAGGGAGGCAGTGAGACAATTATAATTGTTCCCAATGAGAGAACATCAACTCTCCAAATAATTTTGGAAAAGTTGTTTTTCTTTGTAGGAAGAAAGAAAAGCTGAACCAGCATGACAGAAAAAAATCATGTCTTTAGCACACGTTTCCTTTCACACAATTTGTATTCCTTACCTCTGCCTTTTGGTGTGATTTCAGCCACCAAGTCATCAACAGTAACGTGTTCTAGTCCTTTTTCTTTAATTACCTCTTATGCAAAAGCAAAAAACAAATCATATCATTTAAAATCATTATCTGTAAGAAAGATTTTCATAGAGGAAGGGTTAAGATCATGTTTTTAGAGTACAGATTGGTCTTTAAAAAAAAAAAAGAGGACACTTCTTTTTTAATGAATATTTAGTTCAACTTTAAACACATTAAGTATTCACCAGATAATATCATAAAAGCCTGTTCATCTCTCAGCTAAATAACTTTAGCTTAACAAATATAGCACAGAATGAATTTGAACTATAAGGTCAAATCTAACAGTTATAAAAAGCTAGAAATTCATAACTGCACAGATCTTATTTCACTGTTATCTCTTAAATGTGTGGAGGGGGATAAGCTATTATTTGTGTCCAATTTAAAATTTCATAGCCCAAAGTGAAAATACAAAGCTCCTTTGCTCCTTTCTCTTCTCTGGACTGGGCCAAAAGAAACAAGAGGGAAAGTAGTTAATGTTTACTGAACCCCTACTGTGTGCTGGATGCTTTATATTAGTGAATATTCACAATAATGAAATGGGCTGGGCATTTTTCCCACTTCTCAGATGAGGCAACTGAAGCATAAAGATTAAATAACTCATCCAAACATGAGTTGAAATACAGCTCTAGTCTTTTATCAGTGAAGATCTGTATGACCTCAAAGTCTACGCTTTTACTGATTTGTCATAATTAGTTAATGTTATGGTCACTATTATCATTACTTGTAGAAACCATTTCAATACAATGGGAAATCATTAAAATAACCAAAATGCTATTATCCTAAAAGCTGAGCCAGAGCGGAGGCTCGTCATAGTGACATGTGTAACCTGTCTAATGGAATCATCCTCAACATTAAGCAATTTAACAAGCCCCCATTCTACATTTAAAAAAATAAGTATAATTCTCTAAGAGCTTTTGAATTTTTCAAAATAACACTGTCAAAGACAAGAGAGATAATTCCTAAATGTCTAACAACCATAAAGTACTCAGTTGGTTAATTAAAACATATTAGGAATAAGGAATGTTTCATTTTGAACGGGCACACTGAAAAGGTGAGATGCCACATTTTAAAGCCATAGAAAATCCTGCTTCACTTGTTTTAAGAGAAATACACAAAATTTTTTTTTTATAAATTTAGGAATTAGGTCTACATATTATCACAGAGGAGGAAATCATCACTACAAGAGTCAATTTTCCATTTGTTTAAAATTATGTCTGACCACTTATATACCTTTACAATACTGACTGTAATTTTTCTAGTGAACTTCAAACCAACCTAGAGAACAATGGAATTAGCTTATCTTCTAAATGAAACTGATTACCTTTACAGTGTGCCTTCAATTGATCCTTCCAGCCACATTCAATTAATTTAGCTCTCAGCAACTCTTTGAGGCTGTGTAGAAAAAAAAAGTGTTTTCAAATTAAACTACAACAATGTGCAATATCTCAGATAGGAATGTTTGAATCAAAAGTTCAACCCTTCAATTAAAAATTCCCTGCTTGCCAGTCACAAAACTTCAACCATGTCCTGATCCTGGTTCTATCACGAAATAGTTTAAATAGTTCTTTGATCTTGTGGGGACATGGCCTCATTTTCATTACTAGCAAAGTAAAATAAAGCAGATGGGGCACAATACTTCTCAAGAAACTCTACTCTGGCCTTCTTACACCCTGTCTACCTCCCTCCACCAACAGAAATATTGTGGGGCTGTACACCTTTTGGAAGATATTAGTTGAGCTTGGAGCAGCTGCACCTCTGAAATCTTCAAACTCCAAAATCCCTTCCTTGACTACAAATTCTTATCCTTCAATTCTCTTACTTCCCCATTATTTCTCTCTCTAATCTCAAAGATTCCCCTCCCTTTTTCCATTAACCTTCTAAATGATACATCAATTATGAATTTCATGAATCTAACACTTTACCCCCCACATTTTAACAATTCAGTAAATGGCATGCCTATCATAATTTAAATTTTTTAATTGATTTTTAGAGAGAGAGAGGTAGGAAAGGTAGGATGAGAGGGAAGGAGGGAAGGGGGGGGGAGGGGGAGGAGGGGGAGGGAAAGAGGGAGAGGGAGAAAGAGGAAGAGAGAGAGATTTGTTGTTCGATTGATTTAATGCGTTCATTGATTGATTCTTGTATATGCTCTGACGTGGGATCGAACCCGAAACCTTGGCTTATGGGAAGACGCTCCAACCAACCAAGCTACCTGGCCAGGGCCCTATCATAATTTAATTAGCAGGGTTTTGTTTCTTACTGGTTTTTTAAAAAAAGGCGTATATTGCAACTAATGGCATCATGGATGTAATAAAATAGTTTATCAGTACTTTCTGTTCCTTTTCCATACCCACTCTAAAAAATCCTCAGTCTTCAACCTAAATCATCTTATTTCTCAGCTTAAAACATATCATATTCCAAACCAAATTGCTTCTTTCAATATTCCTGTATCTCCACCATGTGGCATTTTCATCTCAATATTTAATCAGGTCATTCAGTCTTCACCGGGCTCAAGCCCAGCTCATGCTCCTCTCCACCCTCAACCTGTTCTGTTCTCCTTGTCACGATGGCAATGCCATGCTTCCAGTCCCTCAGGCTAGAAACCTTGGCAGCGTCCTTCACTGCAACTTTGTTCGCACTACACATCCAACCCATGAGCAAGTCCTACTAGTTCCAGTTCTAAAATAAGTACCTGCACCCATGTTTTGTATCACCTCTGCCCTGTGCAAGCTACCACCTTGTCTTGACTGGACTGTTCCCAAAGCCTCCTAACTTGTTCCCCTGCTTGTTCTCCTTGCATACTTCCGTTCTCTTCCCATTGCTCAAAACTCTCCAGTGGCTTCCTAATTTACCCGGAATAAACTCCAAGTTTTACTACAGCCTAAATGACCCTCCATGATCTGCCCCCTCCCCAGCTGTGCCCTGACTTCTTCTTTCCCTCTTCCAATTTATTCAGTCTCATTAGCTTCCATGTGCTCCTCAAAATGCCAAAAAGCTCCTATCTTGGGACCTTGGCTTTTGGAGTCCCTCCATCTCCCTCATATCCTTCTGATCTCTTCTCAGTGAAGCCCTGTTTTTTCTTTCCAAAATAACATACCTCATTATTCTCTGCTTTGTTTCTCTAGAACTCATCATTACCTGACATATTAGACATTTCTTGTCTGTTTTCCCCCATTAGGATGCAAGTTCCATGAAAGGACAGACTTCAGTTTGTTCACTACGATAACTTCAGCACCTTAACAGGACGTGGCATGTGGTAGAAACTCAGTAACTAAGCTGCATGAAATAAACAAACAAATACGTAGTCCCCTAGGCTCATTACTGGCAATACTATCCTCTCAGTTTCCGAGGGCACCTTTCTAGTTTCCACCTTCTTCCTCATTTCTGATTTTACTTAAAAGACAAAAAACCACAACCTGAGTTTTCCTTTTCATTTTACTGTTTTTCATTTTTAACCCAATGTAATCTTCTGCATTCTGTCTAACGCTTCCAGTCTATGCTCCATTCTGCCAGAATAACATTCCTAAAGTGCAAATGTGATCTAGTCATTCCCTTAAAAAAACCTTTTAATGCCTCCCAACAGCCAAGGATAAAATCAACCACAGATGTTTTTGCAAACCCACCACCCATTTTTCTGTCCTTTTTTTGACAGAAGAAAAACAAAAAAACCTCTACCACTCTCAGTGTAAGAAATCTGGGTAGGGTTCTGGTGATGGACATGTGACCTAGGCAAGGGAGACCATGACTGGCCTATTATCTAAGTGAGATGGTAATCAGGGCAGGTCTTTATTGAAACTATCAGGAGGAAGGTAGTCTGAGCCAGAGGGGTACACATTTTGAACCACTGATCTCTGTAGGGAGAGCCTGCCTGAGAATAAAGCCAACACAGAGGAAAGCAGAGCTGAGAGGCAAAGGAAGATATATTGTTGACAATAACTTCTGAGGCCTGAACCCAGCGGTGCCTGAAGCAATTTTAAGCTCTAGAATTTCAGTTAGAAGAGCTTATGTATTTCCATTGGTTAAGCCAGTTTCTATCAATTTCAACTAAAAAAAAAAAAAGCTGACTTATATAAAATCTACTCCTGTCCACACAGCTTTTACCCTTTACCTCCTCCTAGCTTTAATTCTGCACTTACCCCAGAAGCTGTGATTTTGCACATTGTTCCATCTGCCTAGATTGTTTTCCCTACTTTTTTTGGCTTCAAGAACTGCTAATCCTTCTCCCCCAGCTGAAGTACCTCTTTTAATATTGTGAGATCTTAACTGATTACCTTAACCCGCAGGTGGAATTGAAAGATCTCTCCTGTTCCCTATATATACTTCTTTCACAATTTATCACCCTGTTTCTGGAAGCCTTTCTTGATTCCTCAGCCTCTCCTTGGTGCTCATTTTTCCAAATATTTACTTGGCCAATTAAGAACTAGGCATGATACTGGATATACACTGGTATTTCTGCTGTCAAGTAATTGAGATTATATTGAAGGATACAAACTAGCTAAGTAGGTGGTCACAATACAATGTTCAATGTTCTGATAGACCAGGATACTCAAAAGAAATATTTAAGACTTGAAAGATGAGCTAGACGAGGCTAAAGACTGAGAAAAAGAAAGGAATGTTTCCGATGGTAGGAACAGTACATGCTACTGAGGTTAAGAGAACCTGGCAATGCCCTGGCTGTGGTGGCTCAGCTGGCTGAAGCGTTGTCCCACACATCCAAAGGTCTCAGGTTCAATCCCGGTCTCGGTGCAAGGAGACCGATCAATATTTCTCTGCCCCCTTTCCTTCCTCTCTCTCTAAAATTAATAGAAACATACCCTTGGATGAATATTAAAAAACAGCTTGGTAACTAATACTGGTTCTATTGTGCTGGCTCCCTGTTAAAAAGTGGGTAACATTATGTCTCCAACTGTCGTTATTTAGGAATTTTTTTTTGCTATTTTACAGTCTCTGAGAGTCATTCCTTGTTCATCTTTCTACATCACTCACTTCCCTCTAATTTCTTGCAGTACTGAATAGGCCTGCCTATCGTTTATACATGTTAGGAACTGAAGCTTTTGACAATCTATTTTTCTGTAATTCTTTCCACTGCCATCAGTTTTGTCCCTTCATGTTTCGATTCCTGTAGATACAGTAACTGTAACTTAAAGGCGTTCAATACAATTTACCGTTCTCTTACTTACCGTTCTCTTTCTCCAGTTTCTATCAACTTTTGGTTAATCGCTGCTCTCATCTGCGCATCTTTGTTCATCTTGCTAACCTGAACATCAACACGCATGTTCAGACACAGAGCACTGACAAAGCATTCCCTCCTAACTCCTCTAGGCAAGCACCGCCACACCTTTACCGCGCTACCGGCTGAAGGGGCGATAAATACCAACAATGCGTTAACGACGTCATTACTCTCCATATTGGCGGCATCCCAAGGAGGCACACTGAGAAGCTCCCTGAGCAGCGTCCTCCCCCGGAGGCCCTTTCTTAAAACGAGTCTGGAAGTAGCAAGTACCGTCACATGTACTAGACACACGTATGTGCCTGGTCCGGGGCTAACACATTGTTGTTGCTTTTTTTTTTTTTTTAACTCATTCCACTCCCAGAACCTATTATTTCATAGAAGTATGAGTAACATCATCTGTGTTTTACAGGTGAGGAAACTGAGGCACTGAGACAAGAAAGTCATGAAAAAGTCGGTTTTGCACTCGGGTGGCTTTGACCCCGCCCCCCAAACACTTCCACGGCTCATCACGACAGACTGCGAATCGTTTCTGTTCAAAATTTTGGGGGAAGCCATGCTAGTCTAGGATATGTTGGTGAAAAATGCAATGTCCAGGTTAAGATGTCCTCTCGCGGGGACGCGTCCTGAGTCGCGACAAAAAACCTGCTGTTTGAGTATATTTGTGCTCTTTCTTGATCAAAGGGGGAAACAAACCCCAAAAGAAGTCCTCACTTGGGACATTCTCACTTTCCAGTAAAAACAGCCAGCCCGGACCAAAATGGTGCAGAAAGCAGAGGGAGGCGAGGCTGGGAGGCTTGGAACCAGCCGGCACCTGTCAGTCACTTCAGACCACTTTGCAGCCTGCCATGTGCCCTTCTGGGAAAACTCAGGCTGGAAATTTCTTTCTTTCTTTCTTTTTCAAGTGCAAAGGGAAAAGGAGCGGTTGAGAAAGGACTAGGACATGTTTGCTTTTGCAGCTGGAGGTTCAACATTTTCAAAAAGCCATTCTGAGGTGCAGTCAGGACCATGCCCAGAAGACTGAACTGAATCTCGCCCTGGCCCCTCCAATACGGACAGTGACCTTGGACAAGTCGGTTCCGAAAGACCTCAGTTTTCTCACCGGTGACACAAGGGCGCTAGGGGATCCCTCCCGGTCCAGTCATTCCTGGGGAAAGCAGAACGGGGCGGAGACAGCGGAGAGGCGGGAGGGGAGGAGCCAGAAAACAAAGCGAGGACTGGCTCCCGGCCAACTCCGGTAGCACGCCCAGTCGGAGAGCCCTACAGGCCCGCGAGCGCGGGTCGGGGAAGCGAACGAAAGACAGCACATCGAAAGGAGCCTGGGCCGGGCCCGGGTCCCGGCCCTGAGGACCACGGGCATAGCTCACCACCATCACCGCGGGCGAGGGCCGTCCCTTCCCAGCGACGAAATGACCCTTGCGCTGGCGACCGTTACCTACCACACTCTTCGGCTGCCCGGACTTAGACCCTCAGTAGCTCGGGCGCCTAAGCACACAGAAAGCTAGAACACGCATTTCCGGGGCGGGGCCTCGCCACCCTGCCTATCAGGTGAGAATTTAACCAGCGCGGGCCGCCTCCTGGCCGCTCAGCCCTCTGGGTAAGAGAGTTCAGCTCCCGCTGTCGCGCTGGGCGGTGCGTCCTCTGGAAACTACGCAACCCGGCATGCAACAGTCAACTCGCTCACGGGCACTACATTTCCCAGAAGGCATGCTGCACCGCAGTGTTTAATGGGATGGGACCCACGCAGCCTCCCAGCCCCGGTGCAACGAGGGAAGCGCGGACCTTTCAACAAGAGCTTTATTAATTCTCCCGCTAGGAACCTGGAAGGCGATGGAGGTGGCCGCTAATTGCTCGCTGCGGGTGAAGAGACCCCTGTTGGACCCCCGATTCGAGGGTTACAAACTCTCCCTCGAGCCGCTGCCCTGTTACCAGCTGGAACTAGACGCAGGTGGGAAGAGGCGGCGTCCCCTTGCACTCTTTTCCTCTTCCCTTTCGGATGCCAAGGGCCAGACCCTTCCCGCATTTTCTTCCTTTCCGACTCGGGGCCTTCCTTACGGCCCGTCGGGCTGGGGTGGACACCGGGTGGCGGTTTCTGGAGAAGGACGTCCATCCCGGACCTTCGTGGGAGCCACCTTCTCGCGGCTCTTCTGTGGCGGGACCACGGGCCGGCACTGGGCTGGGCCGCTGGGCTCCGGGGCCCGGCCCGCAGGTGCTGCTCGGGCCGAGACCGCCTGTCCGTCCTGGCCTGGCCCCTGCTGCGGAGAAAGCTCCCAACTTGCTTTCCCCTGAGCCTGGAGCATCCTCCGTGAACCTGTGCGTTGGGAAGCCACGCCTCTTTGGAGGACCCCCAGCTCCAGCTCCCTCTGGCTGAGTCCGACCCATTTCTTAAAAGAGGAACCCCATTGTAGTTCTGAGCAGGTGCAGTTACCTGGGTGATGTTAGCCTAAGGACTGTATTGTAGAGAACATCTCCAGAAAATCGTGATGAAGAGTTGGTTTTCGTACCCATACTTCTTACGACTTGTTTTGTGTGTCTGTAGCAGGCCAGCTAGTCACCACTTTACCTTTCTTTTTTTTTGTAATATATTTATTGATTTCAGAGAGGAAGGGAGGAGAGAGAGAAACATCCATGATGAGAGAGAATCATTGATGTGCTGCCTCCTGCACGCCCCCCACTGGGGATCAAGCCCACCGGAATTGAACCTGGGACCCTTCAGTCCGCAGGCTGACGCTCTATCCACTGAGCCGAGCGGGCCAGGGCCACTTTACCCTTTTTTTTTTAAAACAAGGTGGAGAATGCCATTTTCATTGAAGATAGAGAGCCCAGAGATTTGCATTTTTAATACACACCCCTGCTGCTTCTGGTGCATGTTGTCAGTAGATCACACTTTGAGAAATACTGATCTACAGTTGAATAGATTTTATAGTGTCAAATAATGTGTTTAATTCATTTATAAAATTCAGAAACATCTATTGGGGCCCTGTTTTATGTTACATGCTAACAGCAAGATGAGTATGACAGTCTGTAACATAAAGGTGCAATTATCTAGTTGGGAGAAAGGTAAACATAATTATAAAGCAATGTGGTAAGGCAGTGATTGGGATATGCACAAAACATAATGGTAGTACTTAATCTTTCCAAACCAGCCCTGGAGATCTGGGAAAGCTTCCTGGAGGAATCGATATCTAAGTTGTACTTTGGAGGCTAGGTAAGAGTTGAGCAGGGTAAGATAAAATGAGCTTGGTTTTTCTTTTCCATTCCCTCTCCCACTCCATATCAGTAAATGGTACCACCATGTTTAGTTAGTTTATGCATTTAAAAAGTCATCCCAGCCCTAGCCTGTTTGGCTCAGTGGATAGAGCGTCAGTCTGCAGACTGAAGGGTCCCAGGTTCGATTCTGCTCAAGGGTCCATGCCTGGGTTGTAGGCTCAATCCCGACCCCCTGTGTGGGGCGTGCAGGAGGCAATCAGTGAATCTCATCATTGATGTTTCTATCTCTCTCTCCCTCTGTTATTGTTCATAAGTCTACAGGTCAGGTAAGTGGTTCTAGGTGTGGCTTGGGCTCATCCGTGCACTTTTGTTCAATTATGGGTCTGCTAGGCGTCTCTGCTCATCTTGGCCGGACTTCCTCATATGTTTAGGGGTTCTTTGGCTATAGACTGGCTTAAGGTTATTTCAGATGGTCCCCACTTAGCTCTACTCCACTCGATCTCTCATTCTTTAGCCGGCTAGTGCAGGCTTATTCCAAGAGACAAGTAGCAGTGCACAAACATTTTTCAAGCTACTGCTTGGAATAAGTTTACTGTTGTCCCATTGTGTGGAGAGCGGCTACAGCGTTTGGACAGGTTGAAGCCTGGGACTAATAGGCGGGCACGGTCCTCTCGTGGCAAAGCCACATGCACGTCCTAGCTTGGAGGGCAAAGCCCTCCCAGCGCAATTATAGCCAAGGGCTATAGTTGTAAGCTTGACCTGATGGTCCGAACCTGTGGTCCCACACGACTAAGTGATACAGGCTGCAGGAGGTGCAGCAAGTAAACAAAGCTTGACCAGGTGGGTATAATTGAGTAGATTCGAAACTCACGAGAACATTGTAACCACGCCCTTACTTTGCCTTGTGGAATCTGGCATTAAATAAAGACACGGCTTTCAGGAGAGAGGACAGCGTCTCACCCAGACCCAGCTTTTTTCTCTTGTCTGTCTTTTCTCAATCCTTCACCACCCCCTCTCAGGCTCACCGAACCTGGCTGTCCTGGCTCAGCACATATGGCACCCAACTTGGGGCTGAGTATGCCATGGCCATGCCAGCTTGGCACACCATTGGCCTAAGCAAATCATATAATCATGTCTAGAATAATTATAGCCACTTCATACCACATGGCATAGACCCAGGGAGGCATAAGAAGTTGAGACCATTAGTGCAGGTCTATGTAGTTGCTTTTGTTGACGTCATGGAGTTATTTCTTCATTAAACCCGCCTGTTCAATCTTTCAGCAAATCCAATAGAAGATTTTGGCTTCTTCATGCCTCTATCCTTATCTAAATCACAGTTATCTCTTACCTGAACTGTAGTAGCTTCCTTGACTATCCTTCCTGTCTTCATTTTTGGGCTTCTTCATTCCATTCTCCATAAGGCAGTACAATCATAGTTTTAAATCTGTATTTATTTGATATCTGTTTGTTTCACTCGACTGTGAGCTTCATGATGACGGTGTTTCTCCTTTACTCACTACTCTGCCGTTGCTCTTAGCATAGCAGATGCTTAATAAATTGAGTGAATGAAGGAGAGAAGGAGGAAAAAAATCTCCTGGGAAAGTGAGACAGGACTGATTTCATCATGGGGCCCTTCAGTAAAAAATAAAGCTCACCCATCATAAAAAGCCCAATTTCTTAATTTGCCAAGTGGAGATGTTTCTTAAACACTGTCATGTAGCCCAGCAGGTGTGGCTCAGTGACTGAACGTGGGCCCATGAACCAGGAAGTGAAGGTTTGATTTCTGGTTAGGACACATGCCTGGGTTTCCGGCTAGATCTTCAGTAGGGGGCGTGCAGGAGGCAGCTGATGGATATTTCTCTCTCATCGATGTTTCTATCTCTCTATTCTCCCTTCCTCTCTCTAAAATCAGTTAAAAAATATCTTTTTAAAAACTCATGCACTCGCCCATCTTTTTATAAATAAAAGGCTATTTTTAACCCAAAAAAAGCAGGAAGCAAAATCTCATAATATATAGCTCTCTAAATCCAATAAAAACTCACAAAGTTTTCCTTTTTCTCCCCCCAGTTCACCTGTGTTGGTTTTAGATTCTGTGTTTGGGATGCACAACTGGAGGTGATGAGGTGCCATTTAGGGCTTTAAGCAAAGAAGGAAAGCTGATTTAGGGTTTTAATGGTTTACACTTGGGCTCAATGGAGGCTGAATTTGGAAAATGAGAGGAATGGAAACAGATCAGCTTAACACTTTTGCAGTAGTTCACGTGGAGGGACTTATGTTATTTACTTGAGGAGGAGGATGAAAAAGAGGTTAATTCTTTTGAAAATTATTTCTAGAGAAGGTGAGGTATGATTTAGGAGCTCCTCCTGACAGCTTGACTTCTTTTACACTAACCTAAGGAATTTACATTAATTTAGCATACTGTGAGTGGGCACCTCAGGTGGGTGAAGCTCTGCATTTAGGATGTGAGGATGAAGATATGGTCCCTGGTCTCAAAGACCTTGGAGGTTAGGTATTCTCTTGTCTTAAGTAGTGTCATTAAATTGTTCTAAAATTCCCGATGCTGTGTAAACAGTATATGCCACTTTGTCTTTTTCTATTTCAAAGAACTAAGCAAGAAAACCTTTTTTATAAATTGTAATTGCCCTTTGACCCAGCAATTCCATTTCTGGATAGTTACCTTAAAGGAGAGGGAGAGAGAGATAGAAATATCAAGGATGAGAGAATCATTGATTGGCTGCCTCCTGCACGCCCCCTACTGGGGATCGAGCCCACAGCCTGGGCATGTGCCCTTATCGGAAGTGAAGCCGGGACCCTTCAGTCCGCAAGCCGATGCTCTATCCACTGAGCTAAACCAGCTAGGGCTGTATAAATCTTGTTGAACTTTGTTCTGGGATGCAGTTGAGTTACTTGGAAACAGATTAATTGGGTGTTGCTTTTATGAACTGTTAGCCTGGTCTGGAGCAATGCTCAGTCTAGGGCTAATTGAGAGAAGACTTTTCTGTGTACTCTACCCATTATCCCATGAATTCTGAGTTTTTTCCATTCTGGTTGGGGGGAACAGTTACAGCTCTCAGCCTTGTGTTGAGTGCCTAAAATGGTTTCTCTCATCCTTTCAGATGGTTCTTCCCCTGGCCTGAGGTGGTTTTCTCAATCATGTGCCATTATTTGAGAGACACCCTCTGATTTTCCTCTCTCTTTGTTGCTCTCTTCTCTAGTACACTGGGCAGTCCAATGAACTGTAGCTGCCTTGATCAACTCCCTAGACTCTCACTCAGTTTCCACAACAAGGGGAGTCTCTCAGGTTCTACCTCACCTTTTCCTCTTCGTTCCAAGATCTGGAAACTCATTAAAGGTGGTATTAAGCTGGGGCAGTGCTAGGGCTCACCTTTGTTTCTCATTTCTTAGGGATCACTATCCTTTGTTGCCTGATGTCTAGTGTCTGGAAAACTGTTGTTTCATATAATTTTATCTGGTTTAATTTAATTTTATCTTACATCTTTTTGATGGAAAGATAGAACTGGTCACTATTATTCCATCTTGGCTTCAAGAAAAAAGTGTTCAATATTTATTTTTAAATGGAAAAAGATTTTGGTAGAATAGTAGAGTTCAAACAAAATTGAAATGGGTTAATATAGATAATGAGAAAATGGGAGAAGTACAGGGTAGGAAAGAGGCCTGCTTTGGGAACAGGGCAAAAAGGAGGAAACCCTTTTTCATTTGTTTGTTGTGTGAAGTTTTCAACATATTAAAGTGGAGGAGAAGGGACCAGTAGAGAGGAAGGACCTAGAAGAGGGAGGAGAGAATGGAATCCTAAGCACCTTTGTGAGAATTTGCTTTGGAAGGGAGAAGAGAAACAGGGAAATCATCATTTCTTCTTATGTGCCATCTAGTAAACACTTTACATGTTTACAGGTTACATTTGTCAAGAATATTATAGGATGAGTACCATTAACTGGTGAGACAGGATAGAAATGTTAGGTAACTTAACTAGGCTACTCGTCAGTGGGAAAGCTATACCTAGAGTACATGCTGTTCCTTCCTTCCTCTACTTTATTAGAGGAAAATATGGAGAAGAAAGGCAGGTTAATATGTTAATGTGCAGAAACATTATATAAGACTAGAGGCCCAGTGCATGAATTTGTGCAACAGTGGGGTTCCTGAGCCTGGCCTGCAGGTTCGGGCCAAAACCGGCTCTCCAATATCCCCTGAGCGGTCCTGGATTGTGAGAGAGTTCAGGCCAGGCTGAGGGACCCCACCGGTGCACAATCGGGGCTGGGGAGGGACGCGGGAGGTTGGCCAGCTGGGGAGGGACTGCGGGAGGGCTCCAGGGTGTGTCTGGCCCGTCTAGCTCAGTCTCGATTGGCTGGACTCCAGCAGCAAGCTAACCTACCAGTCGGTGCATCTGCCCCCTAGTGGTCAGTGCATGTCATAGCAACTTGTTGACTGATCGAATGCTCCCTGGTGGCCAGTTCATGTCATAGTGAGCGGTTGAGTGGCCTTAACGTATCATTAGTATATTACACTTTGATTGGTTGACTGGCCAGCCGATCAACCGGACACTTAACATATTAGGCTTTTATTACATAGGAGAGTTTAGTGAGGGCAGTGCTCCTAGTTCTAGCCCTACCTTATTCCATAAATCTCGCTTCAGAACTTGTAATACAAACTTGTGCTCTACTTTTTGGCATCTTTATACACAAATAACAAATTAAGTCACTAGATGAAAAGAAGACTTAACTCATTGGGTACAATTAGAAGATAAGTGGTCTAAGAAGTGACCTTTGTTAGTGTTTTAATATTCTTTGCCTCTGCCTTCCATTAAAAAAAATTCTATGATTACTGGTATATAAGTATTAGATTGAATCATGTTTAAATGGTGTCAAAAGAGTTGAATATTGGCAGTTTCATGAGGTTCAATATAATAGTATATTATAGACAAGCAGTAATTGTAACTGTTAGCACCATTAACAGGGCTCATTTATTTATTTATGAGTGTTTTATTTTTTTTTATCAGTGTTTTATTTATCAGTGTTTGCCCATTGCACAATATCTGGCCCATAGCAGTCATTCAGTAAACGATTTGTGAGTGAAAAACTACAGATTTTTGATGTTACGTGTATGTTTTGTAAGGAATTTTGGGAAAGATTAGGAGAGATCCCCTTTGTGTTAGGCCCTAAGTTCTTTTTACTAAGAGAGAAGGATTTTTCAGCAAAGCTCTTTTTATTTCCAATGCAGTTATTATAATGTTAAATAATAAAAACTCACTATACTTGCTTCTTAGCCCTCATGAAAGAGGCTCCTCTTTTTCAACCATTTCACAGATCCCAACCGACATCTGAGACTCCCTGCGCTCCACTCCTTCTCTTAGGAGGCTCTGTAAAAGGGCTCTGCCGGCCTCCCATTCTCAACACTGCTTTTCTCCTTTCAATTGCTCTGCCTCCCCTTTATACTCAGGATGATTAACATGATATTTTTCTTTCTCATGTGGGGCCGGAGGCAGCCTTTTTCTATGCACCAACAGGACAATTATGAAAAAAAATGTGTCGTCACATTGTGTAGTGTTACTGTTTGGGCCATTATGGTACCCCGCACATTTTCTGCAGTATCGAGTTCCATCCACACAGTGGTGCTAGAAAGCCACGAATTGGTGTTTGTCCCCCTCCTAATCAGTGGAATAGGTATTTCTAGCTGCTCCTTATAAAAGAAACACTTCCTGGAGTTATATAGAAACAGTGTCCTCCGTCTCTATCAAAGCCATCAAAAGCTACAATGATGTTGCTTCTGAAATGCTGCTAAACTTCAGTCGTCCTTTACCCGATGACTGCAATGGTTTCCTAGTGGATCTCCCTGGATTTACCCCTGCTTTATTCTGCTATGTTTTCCATATTGTAGTTATAAGTGAACCTTTTATACATTTGAATCTGGATTTTATTCTCCTGCTTAAAAAATCCAGAATACAGTGAGTTTATCAACAAATATAAGAAAAGGTCTTTCATGATTCAATTCCTGCCAGGTTCTCTCACTTCCTTCGTCTGTAAGCCTTTCCTTGTACAATTCTGTTGCTGTTATTTCAGCCAGTTTGGCTGTCTTTTGGGTCTTTGAACACAAGTTTTCCCTCTTTTGTCTGCTTTTCCTTCTGCCTGTGTTAAGTAGGTGCGTGTATGTGTGTAGGTAGGTAGGTCTACTTCTTAAATTAACTCTACCTTATCCTTTGTAGCTTGGCTCAAAGTTTTGAAAGCTCCTGTTAATCTTCCCAAGTAGATTAGCTCCCATTGTTACTTGTTCTCATGGTACCCAGTAATTTTTCTCTTTTTAAAATATTTTTTATTTCAGAGAGGAAGGTAGAGAGAGAGAGAGAGAGAGAGAGAGAGAGAGAGAGAGAGAGAGAGAGAGAGAGAGAGAAACATAAATGATGAGAGAGAATCACTGATTGGCTGCCTCCTATACATCCCTACTAGGGACCGAGCCTGCAATCAGGCATGTGCCCTGACCGGGAATTGAACCTCCTGGTTCATAGGTTGATGCTCAAACACTGAGCCATGCCAGCCAGGCCCCAGTAATTTTTCTTAAAAACATTTAATCACATATTTACTTATGCAATTATTTGAGTAATGTCCATTTCCCCATTTGATCATAAGTGTTAAGAAGATGGATTCTGTGCTCTTTACTCATCATTGTATCATTGGTGCCTGTTAAAATAGTTGTTGAATAAATGAATGAATGGATATAAGTAAGCTAGGACTCAGAGTAGGTAATAGAATTAGGAACAGGTGAGCATTCTGGAATAAAACTTCCAATTAGCATATAGTAAGATGAGTTTTATATTAAGGTAAGGTATTGGCTCAGCTTAGTCCACTTACTTATTTCCTGTTAAAGCAGAAAATAGTTGTAGTGCATGGGCATCCCTGAATGGTAAAGGTTCCTATATATGGAAAGAAGAAGTGAGAGGCAAAAATCACATTTGGCAGATTTAAAATTATGGAAGCAACTAAGAGAGTAGATCTTAAAAGTTCTCTTTAAAAGGGAAAATTGTAACTATGTAAGGTGATGGATGTGTGAAGTAAACATTGTAGTAATCATTTTGCAATATATACATGTATTAAATCATGATGTTGTACACTTGACTTATACAATGTTTTATGCCAATTATATCTGTAAAGCTGGAGAAAAGCAAAATAAAATTATGGAAGCAGCTAATACTCTAGTGGAAAAAGTTCTATTTTTTAGTAGGAAACTTTATTTTTGTTCCAGATATAATAGTGTTTTGTTCTGTATTGTTGGGAGAAATGTGGTGTAACATTGCAGAAATCACTATTTGTGCTCACATTTATTTCCAAAACTGTGTAATGAAATAATAAAAACACTCTTTCTTAATGTGTGGTAAAAATCAATGAGATATAATAGAGGTAAAAGCATTTTTTACAGTATATAAACACTTTATGAAGTAGACTTAATATTTGCCCAGGAGATAGGAAATCCTTCAATTTTAGAATTTCTCTCTTTTTATTCATAATTATAAGGAAGAGGTGGCCACCATATTCTAAGTTCTGTAAGGGCAGGGACCATGTCAGTTCTACACACTGTTTACCTCTGCACACAGTTTCTGGTAGGTGCCCAGAATTGTTTTTGAATGAATAGCACAGTGAATTGTCCTGAAGGCCTCTTGCCATGTAGGCATTGTACAGAAAGGAACAATCTGAGGCAAAACTTTTTATGTGTGTGTTTACTTTGTTTATATTTCAGCTGTGGCAGAAGTAAAACTTCGAGATGATCAATACACACTGGAACACATGCATGCTTTTGGAATGTATAATTACCTTCACTGTGATTCATGGTATCAAGACAGTGTCTACTACATTGATAACCTTGGAAGAATTATGAATTTGACAGTGATGCTGGTAAGAAAAAATATATAAGTAGGATTTTCTAATAAATTTGATCCTTAATTTTCACTTTGAATCCTATATTCAAGTAACTGATGTACACTTACCTTTAATATAGAAAATCCTATCATCGGTCTGTAAGGCTCCATTTTTGTTTTATTAAGTGTTTTTTTTCTCCTTTGTTCCTATTCCTACACATATTTATTCCCCTCCACTCCTACCAGTGGGCAACTACTCTAATGAGTTTATCAATGTTGATGTACCTGGTTCATTTCTCTTTTCTTCATGTGAGGTGTGTTATCTCCAACTATGATGGGGGATCTATTTTTCCTTTTAGCTAATTTCTGCTTTATGTATTTTTAACAGTTTTAATTAGGTGCAAACATTTAGGATTGTTTTGCTTGCTATGGATTGGTCTTTTTAGGGTTATGAAATGTCCTTTATTTCTAGGCTGTGGGAATAATTTTGTCTTGAAATTTTTTTATATTAATATAGCCATACTAGCTTTCTTAATAAATATTATTTATCTTTTTTATCCTTTTAATTTCAGTTTGTCAGCGTTCTTATTTTTAAAGTGTATGTCTTGTAAAGAACATTTAGTAGGGTCTTTTTTTATTATTATTCAGTATGAGAATCTCTGTCCTTTAATTGGAGGGCTTAGTACATTTATATTTAATGTAATTACTGATATGGTTGGGTTTATATTACCATCTTTTCAGTTTATTTCATCTATTCCTTGTTCTTTTGTGTTTCTTTTCCCACCTTTATATGGATTAATCTATCTTTTTTTTTTTAATTAAAATTCCATTTATTTTTCTCTTTTGGCTTTTTATATAAACCTGTTTGTATTACTATTATTTATTTTATTTTTTTAATTGTTGACAATATTACAGATGTCCTCCATTTTCTCCCCTTTTGCTCCACCCCACCCCACCCCACCCCAGGCCTTTACACACTATTGTCTGTATCCTTGGGTAATGCATACTAGTATATGCATATACGTTTTTTGGTTAATTTCTTGCCATCCCCTTCCCACCCCTCTCCTCTCTGTGATCTGTCAGTCTGTTCCATGCATCTATGCTTCTGGACCGATTTTGTTCATCAGTTTATTTTGTTCATTAGATTCCACCTATAAGTGAGATCATATGTGTTTCTCTGACTGGCTTATTTCACTTACCATAATAATCTCCAGGTCCATTCATACTGTTGTGAAGGATAAGGTATCCCTTAGTATTCCATTGGTTATTGTAGAGATTATAATATTTACCTTTAACTTATCATAGTCTGCCTCTAACTAATATTATTCTACTTTAAAAAACCCATATAAATCTTACAATAATATTTCTTTTACTTCCTTTACCACCTTTGAGCTATTTTTGTTATACATTTTGTTTTGTTATTTGTTGTAACTCTATAGTACATTGTTAGGATATTTGGCATAGATAGTCAACAGTCAGTTAATAGTTTCCTAATTATTTTCTGCTGCTTCTAGCCTTCCCCTACATTGTGTCTACAGCATAATCTAAATTGCTTGTGTAATCTTATCACTCTCACTTAAATTCCTTTTCCTTTATGACACAATCCACACTTTTTGACAAAATCCAAAATTTTTTTTCATCTTGGTGGGTGTCTCTTTATTGAAGTGAAAATCTACACTTTTAAATATGTACTTTTAGAATAGGCAATGTTTTCATGTGATTTAAAAAAAAAATTAAAAATACTCAGTAAAGTCTTTCTGACCTCATCTTTTAATCTCTCCTGTTTTAAATACCCATATTCCCTTTGCAACTTTTAAAAAATTAGTTTCTTATCTGTTTTTTATGTGTCTTTTGTTTTTTTCATCAAGTATAACGCACAAAGTGGTATATATTCTTTTTCTTTCTTTTTTTTTTTTTTTTTGGAAATAGCAAAGTTTACTTTTGTAATTTCTGTCTCCACTCCTCCCCTCTTCATACCTTCAGAAGCTCCATGTCTACCTGCCACACACTGCCTCTCCTATCTCTCTAGTTCTTTCTATATATATAAAAGCCTAAGCAACCTTTATGACCAGACAACTGGCCGGGTGACGTGCACTGACCAACAGGGGGCAGATGCTCAATGCAGGAGCTGCCCCCTGGTGGTCAGTGCACTCCCACAGCCAACCTCCTATGGTCCCTCCCCCAGGCCAGCCCAATTGGAACTGGGCGAGACAGCCCCGATCGGCCGGGAGGGACCCCACCCATGCAGAATTCATCCACCAGGCCTCTAGTTCTTTATATAATACTAAATATCAAATTTATGTTGTGTTCTTCAAACCAAAACAAAACAGCTTTTATTGCCCAGCGCATTCGTATTATAGTCTGGTAAAAAGAATTTAACAGAACTTATGGATTCAAGCTAGATTGAATGATCTCAGAGGGTATTAAGCATATGAGTTAATCCCCATCAATCTCCAAGTGGTCAGGCATGGAAGAGGCAACAATAGGGAACCTCTGAGCTTTCCTTTCCTCCCACAGGCCAGGCTGAGCCTGCTCCCTTTCTTTCAGGATCCCCCAGCTGCAGTGCTGTAAAAACATGCACCATGGCCTAAAAGAACTGCTCTGGTACTTCTGCAAATAATCTGAAATCATGAATCGTAACTATAAGAGTGTGAAGAATTTCTTGGATTTAGAAAAAAATCACTGGGAACATAATCTTCCCATGTCATGTTCAAATTTTCCATGAGGTCTACCTGAATTTACTCCCAGAAATTCCTCTTCTTCCTAGCATGATTTTTTTCTCTTTTCCTGTCCCCTCGGCATTTGGTTCAGGGACAGAAGCACCTACCTGAAGGTAACAGAGGTTCCCATGGTAACTAAGCAGGAAGGGGAATAGAAGCAAGAAACAGAGCATGGTCTGATTTCTGCTGTCTGCTGGCCGGTTTATTTTAGAACCTGTACAGTGATCTAGTGCCTATTTTGAAGCCTGTGTACATGGATAAAATACACAAATTATTCTTGGCATATCAAGTTTATAATGCCCTTCTCTCCAACTGTGACTTTCACCACTTTATACAGACTGCACTCTAGTAATACCACACGCTTGCGATTCCTGAGACATGCCCGAAAGCCTGTTGCCTCCAGTCCTTTTCCCACGTGATTAACTCTTCCTTGGAACATCCTCTCTTAGTTCTGTCAGACTGCTTCCCAGTCTTCACTTAAGTCCCAACTAAACATTTCATCTAGGAAGCTCGCCTTGATAAATCTCTTTGCTCCCCCAGGATCATTTAAACTGTTGGCTCCCAGATCTCCATGAACTATATGAATTTGCTCTGGGCCAGGGGTTAGCAAATTGTTTGTGCATAATGCCAGATAATAAATCTTTTAGGATTTATGGGCCAAACAGTTTTATGTTACAACTGCTCAATTTTGCTGTAGTAGTGTGAAAACAGCAGTAGACAGTATGTGTAAATGAATGAATGTGGTTGCATTCCAATAAAACTTTATTTACCAGAACAGACAATAGGTCCAATTTGGCTCATGGACTATAGTTTTTGGCTGTTCTGCCTGTGGCTTTTCTTATATTTGTGTAATTCTAGGACTCAGCAGAAGGGTTGCCAGTGTGTTGTTGAATGGATAACAGCTGTTTAAAGTTTGTTCTTTTTTCTTTTTCTAAAATTTAATATTTTTATTATTACTTTTTTAAAAAATCTTTATTGTTAAAGTATTTACATAGGTTCTCTTTTTCCCCCCATTAACCTCTTCCAGCCCGCTCCCGTCTTCCTCCATCCTCCCCAGGCTCTCACCACCCCATTGTCTGTGTCCAGGCGTCATGCATATATGCATGCAAGTTCATTGGTTGATCTCTTCCTGTCCACCCTCCCCTGCCTTCCCTCTGATGTTCAACAGTCTGTTCATGCTTCTATGACTCTGGGTCTATTTTTGATCATGGTTTATTTGGTTCATTAGATTCTGCATATGAGTGAGATCATGTGATACTTATCTTTCTCTGGTTTATTTCTTGCTCGTTGGAGTTGGCTTTGCATTCTTGATTGGAGCTTCCTCTTATTATCTGGGTAATACTGTATACGAGTCTTCGGTTTATTGAGATAAATCATTTTTTATTGAATGAGAAATATTTATGTTTCTTAAGCAAACATTTATTGAATGCTACTATGTCCTTAGTAGGCACATACACTTACAAATTGATAACATGTAACAGTGGGAGTAGGGATAAGATGCAGAAGTAGTATGGAGAAGGAAACGTTTGTTAGTGTGCTTGGCTGGGAGGAGTGGGGTAAGGTCATGGTTCAGGGCCAAAATCTTGGTTTTATCAGTTCACCCTCTAATAATCTCAATTTGGGATGCTGATTCCAAATTAAATCACAAGATTTAAGACTGGAAATCTGGGATGAAAGTTTAATGATTGCATTTGAAATACTATAGATAAGCAGTGTGGACTGGTTAGGATATTTTTCTTCTATTAAAAAGTTTCCATAGGAAATTAAATACAGCTGACTCTTGAACAATTTGAGTTTTAGGGGTGCCAACTCCCTTGCAGTTGAAAATCCACATATAACTTTTGACTCCCCCAAAATTTGGTTATCTCTTAGTATCTGCCTGGGGTTGGTTCCAGGAAAAATCCACAGATGCTCAAGTACCCAAAATGGCATAGATCAATGCATACAGTTGGCCTTCCACATTTGTAGACTCCAAAGCAGATAAAAAACAATACAGGGATTTATTTAAAAAGATTTGTGTATAAGTGGACCCATGCAGTGCAAATATATGTTGTTCAAGGGTCAAATTACTGTAGTGTTTTTAAGGTAGCTTATTTGACATGGAATCAGAGTAAAGACTAAGATATCTTTGATTCCTCTTACTGACCTATTCTATAGCTTCTATGGCAGTGGTTCTCAACCATCCTAATTTCGCGATCCTTTAATACAGTTCCTCATGTTGTGTTGGCCCCAACCATAAAATTATTTTTGTTGCTACTTCATAACTGTAGTTTTGCTACTGTTAAGAATCGTAATGTAAATATCTGATATGCAGGAT